GATCCCACCCCCAAACGCGTCGGCCTGGAACTCAAACCGCCGGCTCAGCAGGTTGCTCAGCAGGCCCAGCACCTGCGGGGGCCCAGGGCGGGAGGAGCACGGTACAAGGGTCGGGAGGCAGGCCCACATATCTGCTGTGTGCCCTGGTCATGCAACACCTTACTTAGTACATGGGGGTAGGGCATGCAGATGGGCGGGCAAGGCATGCCGGCATCGACGGCACCGCCGGCATGCATGCTGTGCCGCGGGCCCAGCCGCCGCCCGCCCCGCCCCGCCCCACTGACCTCGTCGAAGGGCCCAATGACGGCGTTGAACAGCAGGAAGGCGCCCAGCGCGGGCTGCTGGCCGGCGGGGAAGCCAAAGGAGGCGAAGAGGGAGGGGCTGGTGCGCACCAGCGTGAAGAGCAGCAGCTGCACCAGCGACACCGCCTGGTGCGCCGCCAGCAGCTTGGGCATGTGCCGCAGCTTCCTGCGGGGGGAGGGGGGAGGGGCGCCGCACGCAGAGCAGCCAGGGCTGGACTAGTGTTGAGCTTGCAGGGGGCAGGCAGCCCTACGTGATAGGCACAGCTTGGGGGCAAGAGAGGAGCTGCAGGCAGCGCCCCAGCCAGCCCAGAACCTTCAGGCAGGCCCTCTCACCAGTGCCCCAGCTCGTGCGCCAGCACAGCCACCACCTGCTCGCGGCTGCACTGCTGTATCAGCGTGTCGTACAGGACGATGCGCTTGTTGGAGCCAAAGCCGTACTGCGGTGTGTGTGTGGGTGGGGGGGGGGGGGGAACCGGGGGCAGCCTGTTTGGGGGGCGCCACGGGGAATGCCATGCTGGGTGTGTGCGTGCGCGGCTGTGTGGCGCACATCCAGCTGAGAAGCACACGCACACAGCAGCACTGGCCCCGGCCCCATGTGTCCAGCTGGCTTGGCCGCCCTGCCACACACGCACACACACATACACGCGCGCACACACGCACACACACAGCAACACACTGGCCACGCCCAGCACACGCACCATGTATGCGTTGGAGTGTGCTGAGCGCGTGGAGCCGTCGATGACAAACAGCTTCCTGAGGGGGAAGGCCAGCGAGGCCGCCAGCTCCTCGATCCCCTCCCGCAGCGGCCCCGCCTCCAGCGGCTGGAAGGTGTTGAACAGCGGGGCGATGAGGGTGGGGTACGCGGTGACGGCGAAGAGGGAGAGGGCCAGGAGGAAGGCCCACAGGTAGAGCCCCACGTAGGGCGAGCTGCGCTGCAGGATGTACGTGAAGCCCGCCACCACCGGCGGCAGCAGCAGGCAGCCCAGCAGCGCCTGCGGGGCAGGGGGGGCGCGGGGCAGGGGCCAGGCGCCGCTTTGTCAGCCGCTGGATGCACGCGCGGCGGCCTCGCAGGCCGGGGTCCTGGCTGCTGGCGCTGGCTGGCTGGCTGCTGACCTGCGTGCCTCCCCGCCCTCTCCTGCTCCGCCCCTGCCGCCCCCACACCCACCGACTTGGCGGCATCCAGGAGGAAAGTCTTGGGGCTGGTCTTGTTGAATCCGTGGCGCGCCTCCAGCACGAATGTGGCGTAGGCAGACCAGGGCAGGCCCAGCACCAGCGAGAGGCAGGCCTGCAGCAAAGGGTGTGTGCGTGGACGCGTGGCAGCACATCGCCTGTGAAGAAGGCAGTGGCTGCACAGCGCCAGCCCTGAACGCCAGCCCACCTGGATCAGCACCCAGGCAACGGTCTGCGGGATCTCGCCGTCCCAGCCCCACCGCGCCAGCAGGGCGCCCGCCAGACGCCAGGTGGCGGGCAGGAAGCCCGCCAGCAGCAGGCCGGTGTTGAGCACGAAGTCCCACTGGCCGTGCACCATGCCTGCAGGCAGAGGGAGGGCTGGGGTGGGCGGGAGTGGTCGCTCTGGCTCTGGGATTAGCAGGCTCACTAGTACACTCACTGTAGCGCAGCTTGTCCTGGTTGTAAGCCCGCTTCTTCTCAAACTCCTCTTTACTGTACAGATGGGCCACCACTGGCGGCGGCGCTGGCAGCCGCAGCGCCTGTGCCACAGCAGCAGCAGCCACAGGCATGCGTGAGCGGCGACGGCGGGGCGGTGGCGGCATCAGCGGCTGGCGGTGGCGGCGGCGATCCCGTCGTCAGCCTGCACCCCAAAACGCGGCTTTGCTCACATGTTGCTGGCGAGTGTCCAGGTAGGTGTGTACCAAGAATACAGCAGTGTTGAAGACGGCCACGGCCTCCAGCCACGGGAAGCCGTCACCAGATGCCACCATTACCGCCAAGTCCTGTGCGAAAGACTGTGTCTGCGGGTGACTGATCGCGTCGCAAAGAGTGCCATGCGACGGCGGCACCAGGTGGCGCAGCGGGCGGGACAGGCGGCATGGGCACACTGCCTCACGGTGCTTCAGCTATTTGAGTTACATTCCCTGGATGCCAGGTGCATGTGATAAGAAACCAAACCAGGGCGAAAAGGAGGGCAGGAGAGCAGAGCGAGACGGACAGAGCACATGAGAGAGCGGCAGCATCAGCAGAAACAGCAGAGGCAAGTTGGGTCAGGAAAAAGCTACTGGAAGAGGCTGTTGCCTCGGTCAGGTCAAGTTGCAGGTGCAGCGCCGCGGGCTGCTGCTGCAGCGCCGGGTCACTGCTGCTCCTCATCCTCTGCCGTCGCCAGCTTGCTGCGCTTGGCGCTGTTGGTGTAGCTGCGCAGCACAAACTCGTTCTCCGCGTGCGGCTGGTCCAGCGTGCCCAGCTTGATCTGGTAGAGCTTGAGCTCAAACCGGGGCCCGCACTCCTTGAGGGTGATGCTCTTGGCGCCCTTGGGCATCTCGTAGGTGTGGTGGCGGAAGGAGATGTAGTCG